TACACCCATAATGAAAAAAAAATGCAAACGATAATTAAAATTAAAGTGTATAAATTGCATATTTTAAGCCAATAACCTCCAGCAAGTGTCAGGGCCAGCAATGACATCCGCCAACAAGTGTCAGGACTATAACGATTAAACAATTTTTAACATGGTTTCTTACTTTGGTCTCTGGTGACTCCAGCAAGTGTCAGGGCCTACACTGCCTATATAGCTCATGGTATTATTCTACATTGCTTTATAATGTGTTTCTGGTATTTGTAATCCTGTATAGCTGATGGTATTTTTTTAATGCCACCAGCTATACAGGACTATAAATCCCATCAATACTTACAGCAATGCAGAATTATACCCTCAGCTATGCAGGACTACAAATCTCATTAATATATACAACAATGCAGAATACTAGGGATGCACCGATATTGGTATCGTGCCTTTATTTAGCATTTGGGCGAATACTCGTACTAACCCTAATGCTCCGATACTTACCCCGATGCAGGAACTTCCGGTTAGAGGGAGATTTGCTCTAACTGGCAGTGCCAGTGGAACCGGCTTCCCGGCCAATCAGGAAGCCAGTCATGACCTGCCTCCCGGCTTCTTGATTGGCTAGGAAGCCGGCTTTACCCTGCCTAGCAAAACTGCAAAGCAGCTTGGCTTCCTGACCAATAAGGAAGCCACACGGCTTCCTCATTGGTATCAGTACTCTGTATCGGCGAGTAATGATAAAAACAAATATCCGCACTCGTACTCTATACCGAAAAATTGTTATTGGTGCATACTATCAGCTATACAGGACCACAGGTTCTTCTCCTATACGGTATTCCGGTTCTCCTCCTGTACTGTATTCCCGTTCTCCTCCTGTACTGTATTCCCGTTCTCCTCCTGTACTGTATTCCCGTTCTCCTCCTGTACTGCATTATGTTTTTAAAAGCTGAATAAAGGTAAGCTCAGCAAATACATGATGAGCAGAGGCATGATCACATTGTTTGTTTTTCTTTTTGCAGGGCCATCTATTTTGCAGCATACTCGAGCTGCAAGGAAAGGTTAAACCATGTATTTGCCGCAGATTCCACACAGGTGCACATGGTCTCTGCTGGGGCAGCAGGTAACTATCAGAAGCTCTTATGGATGATAGCGGAGGATAGGCGTGTACACTTACAACCAGATTTGCTTACTGTGAAGAATCTCGCCCTGTTGTAATGTTTAATGTAATCATGCGTCCTAATTATATTGAAAAATAAATTAAGGACACAGTATTCCTGTGGTATAGAATATGAATATAGTCTATTCCTCCAAAGAAAATCTTGCCCTAAGCACAACACAAGTGGCCGGTACAGTTCAATTACTTGCACTTCACTATTAATGTCCTCTTACATTTTGTTTCACTTCTGAAGTCTATAATGCACACACAGAACTCCATTACTGATAACTGTTTTTAGCTATTCTGCTTTAAACAGCTTATTAATTATTGTGTTGAAAGAGTAATAAGTTGTAGTAACTCATTGCAGCCAATCAGAAATTTGAACACCCACC